GATTTCTATACACATATGTATATGTAGAGTTTTAGGAGCAGGTACATAGCCCGCGGCTTGCAATGCCATTTGAGTGGTGAACTGTGTTCAAAATGAATAAAGTATGCATTGGAGAAAATGTATCGAAATAGAAATTCATTAACTGTTTAAAGTAACTAATTATTTTAACTATAATACAATGGTATAACTTAACTATATAAAGTGTTACTAAATAAGATAGATTACTTTGGTAAATGACGCATATGGAGTATCAAATTAAAAGTGTAAGAAGGAAAATGCCGTACTTAATAGTCAGGTATCGCAGTGATGAAAAAAAAACAAGCATAGCGAACAATAATGAACTATCATAACACACATAAAAAAAAATAAAAAAAAAGCATATCGACGAATTGAATACCTCCTTCTTTTGGGAAGTCGGTCAAATATTCGGATTAAATAAAATATATTGAACTTAACTAAAATTATTATTTTCTTATTAACTAATTTAGACGACAATTCTAGTATTGATAATTAATTTGAGAAAACGGTGTTTTTTAATTCATAAGTTATAACTATGAATCTATCGATTCCAACTTTATAAGAACTAAAATCAAAAATCAAAAAGATTCCTGCTTGATTTTATACTACCCATCCCTACTAAATTGTCACATGAGGTATCTTATTTAGACAAACTATAGCGGCAATTTTTTCGCAAATTAAAAAAAAAAACATTTTTTTGTATTTCATTTACAACTAATATTAAATGACCTTGTATAAACAAATAAACCATTCTCCTATGTAAAAGATATCGTAGTCTAAAAGTGATCGTTAACATGAATCTAAAAAAAAACTCTTGCTCAGATATTTGAGAACTATATTATTGGGCCTGAGGGGCGAAGAAAGCTGAGCGTTCGCATAAACCGCGACCCTGTAAAAATAAATAGGGGTTAGCAAGGTCATGTTGAATGTGAAACAGATATATCCTGTGACGAGTAACATCTCACAAGTCGACACAACTGTTACTACTTGCAATCGTTTAAGGGAGCCACTTAGTGTAGTTAATAAGAATAACAACAGAACATTAAAAACAGATTTAACTAGTTTAGGAGAGCTCATCTCTTGTAAAAAAAAGCCAATAAAGATTTTATAATCTAAACTGATATAATAACGCGTAAACACACATTTCTTTGTTCCCTAAGATGTCACCAATCACAGCACATTTTCGAATAAATCTTTTTTTAAAACAAAGTCCTACACTTACGACACGCTTTAGGCTATATATTTTCACGCCGTTAAACTTAAGGGTAAATATTTTAGATAAAAACCCTAATGTGGGAAAGAGACTATAAGTTGTTGCCAACATCAAGGAAGCTAGGTTGCCATGGTTTGACATATGTCATGTCATTTTGACATTTGCAATTGAAAATTTGACAAATGTGAATAATAAAATGAAATTTTTATAATTCCATGCGAGTGAAGTCGAACGTGAACAGCTAGTTTTTAATAAGAGAAGACTACTTAACTGAAAATCGACTTAATTCCTTTAGATTAGTACGATTTTAACTGATTTCTAGTGTAGAAAATTAATTATTGTACGCGATTTTTTGGACATTGTAATCCAAAATTATTTAATTCTACTGAAATATATTGAAGTATAATCATTAAAGATAGCTAAAAGTATAACAATATGCTTATGTGATCTATTACTAGAAAACAAAATTATTCTGTATTATTTAATCCTATTAGTGATATAAATAACAGAAGCTCTGTCACCAATCGCTTGTACACAAGCATAACCGCGACAAGAGAACCGCCGTTTAGTGGAAATATTGTGACAGATGGTCGTCTGGAGTTATTTTTGTTTTAGAGGGTGAATTTACGAGTTCCCACTGTGAGGAGTTTGATGTGTCAATTAGCGGAGTACGGTCGAGTACTGCTTTAGGACTAGCATATAACTAAAGCGAATGCGAAGCGAAGATATGAAATTTTCCGAACAGAATTTGAAACAAACGCTTCAATCTGTGGTGCGAACTCTATGTCCTGTTTACGTACATTCTTCAAGCTTTGTTTTGTTCCGGTTCGTTTTAGCGACTGTGTGACGCGGCCTAAAACATGAATTATCGCAATGTGGAACAGACTCGGTTATTTGTCAAAATTGCACTCAACTCTGCCTTCATTTCTATTTTCGCGCGCTTTTAATTCACTTACCACTGTACTAACTGGATTGTAGACAGAATATAATTATAAAAAGTGAACTTACATGAAGAAACAGTCAACAACAAAAGATATTATTTGTTAGATATAGTGTGGCGGATAGATGTTTATTCGATTCCCAATAACTGGTGATTCGATTAATGACCGACAGATGGAGTTAGGAGAACGTATTTCTCGATCCTAACGAAATATTTGATCCTAGTTAATCCAATTAGGGCCACAACTCGTTATTGCGCTGGCGTGGACTAGGCGAGTTCGAAAAGAAATCGATTCAATTTCAATTGATTCACTCGGATAACGCAAGAATCGAATACGTCGAAAGTTTCTAGTTAAGGTAAAGTACGTATAGAAATTATTCATCATAAAACTCCAAAAGTCATTAATTTGAGCTTGAAATTAAATTGATGAAAGACAGTCTCTTTAATCTACGTTACCCTTAGTAAGAGATATCGACACTAAGTGGAGCAGTAAATAATATTTGTAGGTTTTCACTTAGAGTTACACGGTAAGTTAGTCTCGTGTCTGGGTTTGGGCGGAATATTAATAAGCTGGTCCAGACTGCCTCGGGTTGTGTCCCATGTGACCGCTAGCCCTTACCATTGCCTTTGTTCTTAACCAAATAAGAATATAAAACATTCTAACCATTGATTTTTAAAGAAAACAGCAACCGGTAACCGTCTAAAGTAAACAAATTTATTATAGACACAATATAATGCTACTTAAGGAATATTTGTAGGATATCTGAATAATTTAAAAAGAATTGTATTTGTTAATTTTGGCCCTGATTATGGAATTTTTTTTTTTTAAATCAGCGACCCGAAGTGGGTCTTGGCTTCCGACACGAGAGAGCGCCAGCGTCGTCTGTCCTGCGTCGTCGATATTTCTCCACGTAAATAAAAAAACTTAAAGGGTTAATAAATAAACAACTGGTCTTGCTTGGCCTAAAAATACAGAAAATTAAGCTTTATAATTTTATGATTAAAGTATAAAATGCAAACCAGAATTTGATAATAGTAACAAGCGATTTAAAAACGGTGAACAATGGTTGTAACTCATAGCTTTAAGCAGAGCGCAGCAAAATTCAACTATCCCAGTGTTTAACGTGGTTGCTTGCCCCCACCGGCTAGGGACGTGTCCGTCGCTTGTATTAAATATTTTCATAGTAAAAGGTATTTCAATTAGTCGTCGGAGAATTCATGCAATTTAAATTTATGAATTCAATTTCGTAGATTTAATTTATTTAATTCGTTTACAGCGCTTCTGCGGAGTTTAGTAACTATTGTAGGAATATGTCAAGCGTTAGATTTTTTTTTATTCTTCTTTTAACAATACAAGTAATTAAATCTAGTTTAATATAAAAAACACTAAATAAACATTATTGGTTTTTCACTAGCGTTTCAGTGGCTTGTTTTTTTTGTGTTATACATTAATTAAATTTGTTAAAACAAGAAAGCTAATATTTTATTAACGGCTTAATAATCGAAATACGAAACGAATCTTAAACTCTTTACTTTGTTTGCTTTTATAATATGACATGCGTCAAATTAAATTGTGATTAGGAGTTTTAGTAGGACTTATAATTTAAGACGCTCTTTCAGAATTGGTCACCTTAAGTCGCGTTTACGAACAAATTACATCTTTTACGTAATTTGACATCTTATCGGTAGAAGAAATCTCATTACAGCGAAATTATTAAGAAGTTGCGATTTATCAAACACACCTTCGAGTTATATCGCGAAGCAATCTTTCTGAAGGTTGAAAGTAAAAAAAACGTTGAATTTCTTACAGTATGAGAGTAATAAATAAGAGGCACGGGCGAACGTTGCGTCATTCCGCCGCCGAGATTATAAAGTGGCTTATTCTGGTACCTAAATACGATCCAACTACGATAATGAATATTTAAAAAAACTAACCTTAATTTTCCGTTATAACATTGTTATTAATTAAATTTCACCACTGCGCAGTATACTATAAAGAGCACCAGAAAGTAATATCTATGAGTATAAACATTTCAATATAACAGAATTGAATCAGAGTTTTAAACTACAATAAAAGAAAAGTAAAAATTTTTTGCATAAAAGCTATATTTATTAACTTGTATATAGTTATTATGTATATTTATTCACGTTTTATTTAAATATATTTTTGTAACTTTGTAACCTGTGGCTAAGGAAATAGTTATCACAGAATAAGGATGTGAATCTCAATTTGTCGGCGCAGACGTTTGGGCGCTCTCCGCAGGAAATGAGCGCATTTGTCTTACCTGTGCGGAGTATGGCCATGAAATAAGCGTATAGATATCAATTGGATCTAAAAGAGAAAAATAAAACAAAGTAGAGTTTGGAATATTAAATTTTTACCGTTCCAAATATTAAAATATTCCATTTATTTGCTGTATCAATATTAAAAAATGGTATTTTATTAAACTTCTCGTCCAAATACAGATAAAAGAGGTTCTAATTTTCTCGTATAATCGTTAAAAATGCCAATAAAACCGTACAGCGATGTTAATTATCCGCTTTTGCAACAGCCACAGTAACATATAACCTGTAAATTCATAAATTCACTTACCAACATTTATGAATATTAATAATTAACGAGGTCGCAGCCCTAATTTCCATATCACTTGGTCGGTGAGTCTGATGGTGGTTGTCACACTTCACACGTAAATATTGTAATAATTCTTGTAGGCAACCCTACTAGTTTTATACATTTTTAATTTCATAAATATCTTATTTAGAAATAACCTACTATATTTATATTAACAGATATGAAAACTTTGTAAAAAAAAACTTTTTCTTTTTCAGATCGACACCACGACTCGTTGGTTCTGACGCCTCATATAAATTGAGTCAATGTGAAATAGAAGCTCTAAATGCTGTAAGTAATTGAATAATCACGATCAACATATATACGAGTACTAATAATATAGAGAGGATAGTTTTGTATGTAGTGAAATAACTCAAAAACTACTAGGCCGATTTTAAAAATTCTTTCTCCGTTTGAAAGGTAATATATCTGTGAGCAACAAACGACATGTTTTTTTTTTATATTATTGACGCGAACAACTTGTAACTTAATAAAATTGTAATTATAACTTAGTTTATTGCCTATTATAATAATACGTCTTACTTCTTATTAATATAAATGCAAAGGTTTGGATGGATGTTTGTTATAGTGTACCGCATTAACGGCGGAACGGATCTTAATGAAATTTGGCATAGATGTAGAGCTAAGTCTTAAAGAACACATGGGCTACTTACTTTTGTTTTTAAATTACACATGTAAAGAGTCATGTCCGAAAGCTAGTGTTATAAAAGTTCTATAATTGTGAAGGATTGGATAGGCATCAATATTTGTAAATTTATCTACCTAACTACAAGTAAAAAAGATTCCCGTAGGATAGATTGCCTTTTGCATGAAAAAAAAATGCGAACGAAGTCACGGGAAATATCTAGTACATTAATGCGTCATAGTAAATTCTTAATATAAATTTAACATTTGGAATAACAATGGCATCCGTATTACGTGATACATAATTAAATATCGTTATACGGAATTATTGTAATAATTATATTAGAGAAGCTCGTTAGAGGATTGAAGTGGATACAGAACAAACATAGTTATCTCTAGGGATTATTGCGTAAGATAAACATAACGTATCAATGGAGACGTATCTCGTATTATTTATTAATATACAAACGATAGATATATGTATAATTGAATTAAGACGATTTTCTATTTGGGATAATCCCTTATACGAATTACAAATATCGCGGAAAACCAAGCTGTAATATCACCTGGTTACATCAGAAGTATCTGTTATCACCGGAGAGAAAGGATGACACTTTTAAACCTGAAGGTTCGACGATGTAAGTTGAGGTTATGGTAAAAAGCAAGGACCATATTATAGCCGCGAATTCATCGTATAATTAAAATGGTTTCTTTGAAATGCATGATGCATGCATTGATTTTTTATTGCTTGTTTTTGTTAAGTAAAAGTGATTTTTACAAGAAATAATTAAAAGCAAGTGTAATGTACCTGATATATTAAGGGTGTGCATCTTTCGCCAATAAACTGTTTTGGCAGTTTGGCGAAATAATTTATATGACGTAAATTTTATGTTTTAATTAAATAAATAAATAAAAAATAATAACAGACAGTTGTTTACGTTTTTAAATTGATTTTGTGCCCCATTGAGTTACCTCAGAGCCTCTTAGATACAATAATAGACCACAGACTATAATCTCTTGTATTCCAAGTGTACTCGGACTGACATAATCCAGTTAACAGTTTTCGGAAGTTGTTGAATTATAATTACACAAGTCAGTTAACACGAGCGTATCATAGACGTGAAGTTTGTCAGCTGTGTAACGCATTGTAGTCCCTTGTCAGTGCCGTACGCATATTTGATGACAAGACAACTTTGGTAATAGAGTTGGCTGAAGTATGTGCCATACCCTTACCTCACAATAATTTAATTAAAAATTGATAAATCCAACGATTTTGAAATAGAATTTGGTTTATTGTTATGTAAAATAAAAAAAAATATTATTAAATCAATTAAGTTACAAATCAATCAGTTGTAGGGACTTCCTTTTAAGTAACCAATAGGCACTTGTGTTAGGAAGTAAAATATCATTTAAATTGTAAATTGATCAAAACCTACATAGTGCCTACAAATTAAGTTATTTTTTATACAAGTTGAGGGCTTTTAATACTCAAGCATAACTCACGCCACAGGCGCCCTCTAGTTAGTTGTGTTTATAAAATATAATTCCTATTTGAAGCCAACAGCCGTAATCCCATTGTTGATTTTAATTAAAAATACGCGGAAGGGTTGTAATGATTCTTCAGATAACAGTTAATATATTGATTGGTTTGTTAACTTAATGAGATACATACCAGCTGTTTTTAAGTATTTATTGTGTACAAAAGTTTAATTCACTTTTGTTTTATGGGAAAATGATGACCTAAAAATGTTCTCTAAATTATTACATGACTAGCTGTTCCCGTGCGACTTCATCCGCATCAATTGCAAATGTCAAAATGACATGACGATGACAAACCATGCAACCTTGCTTCCTTGATGTTGGCAGCAACTTATGTTCTCTTTCCCACATTAGGGTTTTTATCCAAAATATTTACCCTCCTAAGTTTAATGGCGTGAAAATATATAGCCTAAAGCGTGACGTAAGTGTAGGGCTATTTAATAAAAAAAAATATTCAAAAATATGCTGTAATCCTGACATCTTAGACAACAAAGAAGTGTGTGTTTACGCTTTATTATAATAGTATAGATTAACCTTTGTTTAATGTTTTCAAATAGACGCTCATTATAACAGAGGATAAATCTTCCAAGGTTCTTTAAGACAAAAACAAATGTCTAAAAGATCTCTCTCCTTTCTTAAATTCTTCAATGAATAGGTTACTTAAGGTTACTTTCTGACTTCAGCTAGATCTTACGTAATAGCAAATAATTAACAGTAATTGCTCCACATCGTCTTAGATGTAATCTGACGCCGATTAAATGCATATCTCGTGTGTGGCTGTGGCTTTGTTATTAAGTTCATTGTTAGCGAATTAAGGCGGTTGCCGCGGGTCGCCGCGCAGACCTCCGGCGCCGGACCATCTTTGTGCTAACTCTATTGAAGTCTATTGAGTTTCTGATGATAATTTTCTGTAGAAATATCGCAATTTCATTGTCATTACATTGTTGAGAACAGATAGTTATTTTCTACCTCTTTCACTAGTTTACATGTGATGTCTAAAATTCATCATCGTCATCATCACCAGCTCACTATATGATATTATAGTTCCACACTAAGGGGCTCGAAACCTTTATTATATCTTTCTTTATAACAAAAAACAAAAATGTTGCATTTAATAAAAATAAAAAGCACAATTACAAATTATTTATTAAATGGAGGAGTAAAGCAGAGCTATAGTTTCTTGTATAATTCATCATATTTTAACTTAGATTTTAAATGAATTAGTTATCTTGTATTACAATTGAATAATTCGAAGTAACGCCTCTTTTGTACCCCATAAACTATGGCAACAACGCATATAAGGCGAATGTTCGACGTTACCCAAGCACTCTATCATTTACACATTTCCTTGTACGGAGCCAGTTGCAGTTCTAAAAGCGAATTATGACCGAGTATTAAGCTGTAAGGAAAGGTCTGGTTTCAACATTACGAACGCCCTGGGCGAGATTTCTACCGCACCTCCGGACAAACCCATCCGGAAAAAGGCGTCCGTTTAGGCGTCCGTGGCGCCCATTTATGTCCGGCGCCCTGGGCGGTGACGCCCTCCTTCTCTAACGCCGGTACTGGCTTGTAAGTTCACTATTAATTGATTTGTGATCCATTTTCAGTTGTAACGTTATTAATGCATCGAATATTGGCCGTGTATTTTGTGTGTGTATCTAAAATGTTTGCTATATTTGACTTTGAAGTAATAAAGCTACACACTGCTGGTCCTCTTTATAATATATACGAATATTACAAGGAGGAAAGATTTTTATATTTGGATTTTTGTATATATTGAAATAACTCAAAAACTACTGGTCTCATATCAATAATTCTTGTACAATTAAAAAGCTACGTTATCACTAAGTAACATAGGCTATGTTTTACTATTTCAGACGAAATATATAGACGGAGTCGAAAGTAACAGCTTGTTTTTAAATAGAATGAAATGTTACTAATGTTGAAGATGGTTAGAGTACATCTTACAAAGCTTTATGGAAATATGGTAGATATGAAGTAAGATCATGTTAAAATGTTCCTCTATTTTCATTGTTTCTTGGTTTTTACAAATATTAAACTATTAAAAGTATAGCAAATAACAATTACTACGAAATCTTTTACTCGATTTACAATTATCGCTAGATACAACAATCCAAGACATTGAAAATAAGGTTTAGTTCAAATAAATTAGAATCTAAAGTTCAATGTACCGTGATCTTTCGTCGGTAGGTAACGATGTGGTAACAAATCACGATTATTCATCATATTCCTGCGCAGTTTCCGCAAGAGATGATCTCAAAGGGCGCATAATGAGACTAATTTACGGCAGACCTTCTTATTGTTCACAAACCGCGCCGACTGTTCGATGTTCCTTACCATTATTGCGATCTATGTATAGTTAAAAAAATATATATACTTAATTACTATGTCATGTTTGTTTGTCTTTTGTTATTTCTGATTGTGTTTTCGTGTTGTTAAGAATGAAATGTCTTTTTATTTATTTAGTTCCATAATTACAAATTGCTTGTACAATTATTTAAAGCTAGCTTTCACCCGCGACTCCGATTGCGTGGAATTTAAAAAAAGTACGCAACCTATGTGTTCTTCTAGACTATCCTCTACATCTATGCTGAATTTAATCGAAATCCCTTCAGCTGCTTAGGCTACAAACACTAACAAACATCCATTCATTTAAACTTTCGCATTTATAATATTAGTGCGATGTGCAATTTTCCACAAACATTAATGACATTGACAAATTTAGACCTATCTGCAGGATTTCTTTATTTATGTCATATTAGTTTTTGATGGCGATTCCGTCCTTGTTAAATTAAAAAAAAATCTCTACATCCTTGCAATATTTCATCGACATCCATTCAGCAGTTTAGGTTACAAACTCAACAAACATGCATGTATATAAACATTCCCATTTATAATATTAGTAAGATATTAGTAATACTCTTAATATAACAAACCAGAATGATATTGTACAATAGACAATACAAATATTAAATCAAATAAGCGAGTCCAAACATTAACACCAAATAAAGACAGTCATCCAAAGGGAGATAAATAAATTTACACTCTATTAGGCGGCGGTGATTCAGCAAATGGCACAGAATTAG